TTGAATTTTCGGTAAAAGGTGATTTATTTTTGAAAGAATTTGTTTTAACATATATCGTAAAACCCGTGCAATATTGCAATCGTAAAAACTTAATAAAATGTTTTCACGTTAGAATTTTTTTCCCCAGTGTATTTGCTAGAATAATGGTGACATATAGCGGATCAACCCGAAGGGGTTTTATGTTGGTTTTACAGTTTGGCACTATTTATTAGTTTTTTTTTGACACAATATTAATTGGCCGATTGTAATTAACCGAGTTCCGCAGTAAAAAAAAAAAAAAAAATAAATGCGAATATAATAAAATTGTAAACTCGTAAATGTGCGAGAATATTAATCATTTTAAAATTGTTATTTTATAAATAACCATTCACACTATGTGACGGTAATATATAAAAATAAATTAGGATAAGGATTAGTTTGGTTTAAAACGTAGGTTAGTCTGTATGTATGATTGAACCAAAAATAAAAATAATAAATAATTTCTTGTTCGATTTTTTTTCTATTAAATTTGCGTTTTCTTGAAATAACAATTAATTATAAATAGAGAAAACAATAGTTCGCTGTTAAACTGTTGGTTGTAAATGATAAAGAAAATTCCAATTAACAATATTAAAAAAGTTGGGGTGCATTAACTAACTGCATAGTAGATGGGTTTTGCTTAAGCTCTTTGACAAACGAATACACGAGATTTGAGTTTAAATTAATGTAAAATTAATTCTTCATTTACATTAGTAAAAAAAAAAATTATTTGCATTTTCCTTGGTACTTAAATTTGAATATCAATTTTCATTACGAAATAAGTGTAAATAGAAGTAAATATACTTATATATCATAATGTGCATAACTTAAAATACAAATTCATATCTGAAAATAAATTAGTATAAAGAATTATACCATAATAATAAATACACAATGATTATTAATTTTTTAATTCAATTTATTTGAAAATAAAATAATCAATTGTTTTTCTATAATATAATACATTAGTAAATTACATTTAAATGTTATCAAATAATAATTTGTTCTACCAATATTATTAATGTGGGTGTTATTTTTCATAAAACAAAGTGTATTTTTAAATAATTATGGACGTATTTTTTACGGTTTACTACTGCGTAACATACAAAAAACAAATAAAATGTTATTATTTTATTCTAGATCAATTATTGAAGTAGACTCATTTAAATTTGTTCATGATAAAAATATATACCTTACTGAAAGTCAAACGTGTGTTATAATATTTAGATTGAAAGAAATAGCATATAATATGGATAACATTAATTTAGTTTGCCTTAGATAGGAGAATACACCTCGAGTATCGGAAAACGATTAATTCAACTCGATCCTTTATCAATTTCCAAATGGGATGTTTTTCATGGATTATGTGCAAATTACAAAACACTTTTACTGAAGAAATGTAAAAGAGCTTTTTATTTAATCAAACATTCATGACGCATAACCTATTTATTTTATTAATAAATTAATGGATAGAACGCTAAAATGATACACATGTGTATAGATAAAAAATTATTTTCTTTTTCTTTTTCAATAAAATAAAAATTATACTACAATTATATGAGAAAGTATATAAAGGATACCAAAAAATTATGGATAGAATGGTATGATATTGTCATTAATTATTATTATTAATTTGCAAAAGCATGTGAGTTCTTGATTCAGAGAACTAAGAGACTCATAATAATATGGTGTCATACATGATTTTTGAATTTTTTTTTTTTTTTAATTAATTCGAAGCAAATAAAGCGAATTTATTAACTATTTTGATGACGAGAGTATATTTTAATATACATTTTATGGTTTTAAAGTAACAAATTATCTAAAAAAAATTTTTTTACGAGATTGACAGTGGTATGAAAAAAAATTAAAATAAAAATTTGTCAAATATAGTATATTGTATTTGGACGTAGATAAATAAAATATGGCATCGACAAAGAGAGTATGACAATTATTTTCAGCTTGTATAACTGCTCCGTAATATAATACTCCACTGAACGGGTCGTGTGTAAATACGAGTTTAGAGCACAATGGGATATAATATACGTGTACATATAATACATGAGACCGTTGGCGGTAGTGTAATTTTAATAACCCTTTGGCAGCGTGTTAACATTCCTCTGTGGTCAGAATATCACCATATAATTCTGCAACTATCTATATGGGGTGTATTCGCGTTCAGCTGATGATAAAGTTGACGAATATCCGAAAAAAAGATTCAAAAAAAAATCATTGCTCGAATACGGTATGATAACGTCCTCATCGATTCTTTTAGAACCGATGAGGTATAGGCTCCAAAAGGGGTAATAGTGCAAAGCAGATATTTGTGATTGATTATGTTTTTGAAGCTTAAAATCACCCGGAAGTCTTAATAAAATTATTTGGTTATTTCACCAACAATAATGCAACTTAATGCGATCGATTATAAATATTATTATATTTTTCATAATTTCGTAAAAACAGTAATAACTAATATTACAAATATATTTAAGAGACCAATGGGTACTATAGTATACACAAAAGCAATTAAAAATACTGAACGTACGTTGAGTCCAACAAAAAACAGTTGGTTAAGGTTTGTATAAAATATGAGAAGAGGAGGAGAGAGGAAAATCAATATGTAATGTACGTTATTTTTGGGTTCGAATGCATACGCGACTGTGACTTATAATAAAAACTACAAAAGCACCGACCGAGTTTCTAATCCAAAATCCATGCTGCTTACAGATTTCTACAAGGAAAACGTGTTTGAAATAAATATCAGAAATCTCCTGGCAATTTGTATTCACTTCCGTGATATAAAAGTTTGTGCGCGAAAAATGCGATAACCAAAAATACACAACACATTTGTTGTTGTTGTCGTATAAAACAAGATTCAAGTATAGACAAATATAGCTTGGATTCGTTATCACGAAGTTCTAGGAAATACGAAATATTATCAACTGTATATATTATATATATTTTAACTTCCAGCATTTTTAAATTAAATATAAATTTTTATCATCAAACATGAAAATATATTGAAAAAAAGAATGTTACCGCCTTACCTTGTAAACATTGCTGTAAAAAATCTAAGAATATTTATCAGAACACCGTTATAGATTATATAATATATATTTATGATATTCATTTTTCCATTTTAAGCACTTTAGTTTTGTTACAATTGGATATGCGAATTGTTTCCGAGTAGGATTGTGTACGATAATAAAAATGAATGTGGATCGTAAAGATTGAGTTTCATATGTATAGAAAAACGAATACGCGATATACTATATCATAATGAATAATTCGTAATTTTGAAAAGAAAAAAAAAGTAAAATCGCTTAGTGAATTGAACATTGTTTGCAATTAGAGTTCGGGACATTTGATTCGAATGGAAATTGGTTTGCGATAGGGCAACAAGTGGTGATGGTTTGGAGTTAATTCTTTCAATGACTTTTAATTAATTTGAAATCAATTAAAACAAAAACTTTTGCTGCTTTAAAATATGCTTAACACAAGATAAAAGGGTTATGAAGTACAATTTTTTAAGTATTATATATTTTTTCCGCCACAATAACCCTTATTTGAAAGTTTAATATTATTGTTCTTTGAAAGAATTAATTTGCCAGACATTAGTTATGGTTTAAAAGTTACTTCTATGAAAACTTTTTAATAGTCGTGCGACACTAGGTTTCAAGGGTGTCATAAATCACAAAGTTTTTTTTCAAGACATTAGTAAGTATGGCGCACCCTTAAGGTATACACCTTAAAATAACATTACACTTGGGTTTGGTGAAGTTTTAAGACTATTATAAAATACTATTCGATGAGACTTTCATGTCACGATTACACGGCACTATATATACCGTCTAATTGTAAAGCTATAAGAAATATTATTTGTATCCTAAAAGGGAGAAAAGTAAAAAATGAATACATTTTTAACTAAAATTCGGTGCAACACGATTGTGCAATTTTTCCTTTTTTGATCCAACTAATTACACAACGATTGCGCAAAAAAATTTGCAACACGATTGCGCATCAAATTATAAGTGTATATGCCATATTACGTATATAATGTATGTACAACATAAAATAATGTACGAATATACATTACATACTTTCTATAATTTACATATACATGTACTCAAAATATTAATTCACAAAATGCACTTTTTCAAAATCGAAATGAAAAGTTAATTGAGATAATGATAGTTATAATAATAATATCGATTAATGACTATCAGTATATAAAAAAAAAAAAATTTTTAATAAAAAAAATATTGACTATTGACCATGTCAATATATACATTTAGCATACATGTAATTTAGAAAAAAACGATTTTTAACCAAGCCAACGATGATAATTTGTTGATAGTTTTAAGACTGTAATAATTGCGAAAGAATATTGTGAATTAATAAATTATAAGTTTAAGTGTATGTATATGAAAATTATATGTAGAAAGTATATTGTATACATTATTTTATGTTGTACATAAATTATTATACATAGTACATATACACATATTATTATTTGGTGCGCAATAGTGCTGCGATTTTAGGAGGCGAAAAGGGATCTGGGCGCAATCGCGGTGAAATTAGTCGGGTCGAAAGAGGAAAAATTGTACAATCATGTTACAGCCCTAAAATCAGAAATTTTGCGCGTCGAAATGACATGACGCCCAAAACTAATACTATAATCAACATTTTTTTTTCTCTACATAAATTATCAAATAAATGAAATTTGAATATGTATGAGCATGCTATTTGATTTTATTTACCAATGAACATAAATATTTAAACCAAATTCTATAATATACTGACAGCGTGAAATATTAAACGTTGTCCGATTGATCCGATAAAAGAAGATGGTTAATGTAAAGGTCGGTCATTTGATAATAAATTCAGAAATAATTATGCGAGGACTTATGCGAAATGTTACGAATTATCAAACATATAAAATAAATTAGATTTTGAGAGAAATTGAAGTGTTTCTTCTGACTTACCTCTATTGAACTTCATCGTTCTGGACCCGTCAGTGGGAGATGACATACCATTACACGTCGCATCACCGGACTGGGCCATTTCAAACGAACCACCGTTCGATTTGCCCACGACAAAGCATCGATACTTGTCTTCGTCAGACGACGTAGGTGTGTGTTCCAGCTTACCGATCATGTATTTGGTCGATCCGTCCTTCCACGTGGCCAAACACAATAGTTCTTCGACTAAAAAATAAAATATAAATACGAATTAACAAGATATACATTTATATAAAAATCAATAATTGTTCATATAAATAGTACTTTGTAGTGACAACAATGAAATATTTACGAAAAGAGGAAGCGTGATAATAATAAAGATGATATTTATATATTTAGACTTCAAATAAATATTTTTATTTATTTTTTCATTTTTTTTTTAATAATTAAAAAGAAAATATACTTATATTTAATTGATGCCTATGTATTTTCAATGATGGATTAATTTGGTTATTTAATAAATGTTTTATTACATTTTTATTGCACTGCCTAATGGGTATTCTATATAGTACGGATCTCAAGACCGATAAATTATAATTTTATTAGTATAGTTATTATACAAATGTTATTATTGTTTTAATCTATTATTTACATGTAGAACCATTTATTGAAAATTGATTTATTACGTTTGTTGAATTTGTTACATATATAATGTAATAAGTATGAAATAAAATAATTTAAAAAAATTAGGTAAATACGCCATAAATAGTTGCACATATGGTCCGTGAATTTTTCAAATATATTTTAATTTTATGCAAATTATTAGTAAATAAGAGAGGAATTTGAGAATTTGGCTTTTGAATAAGTTGTGATGCGTAAGGAGGAAAACATGGTAATTAATATATAAAGGATAATTTGGACAAGGGCCAAAGTGACCTTTTAAGTTTCTTATCGACGAACATTTTACTCCAATTCCCTCAATTACACATAGATGATTTCATACTTTTAATAGTTTAACTTTTTAAACTTCAATCCAGAGTCATTGATATTTTTATCAGGGTAATATAATTATTTACAATAACATAAATGTCATCGATATTTATTATAAATCAAATGTGGTTAAAAAACATAAAATGTAATTATGGAAAAACACCAGTCGAAACTTTTTAGATTTTTATAAATATATGAGTAAATTATACTCGAAATGCAATTGCTGCATTTGAACAGCAACAGTTAAAGGCTACGAGAACAATTTGTAATTTTAAGTACGGTTTTAGTTAGGTAGCTCCAAACAATTATCGTTAATGACATACTACTTGGGATGAGATAAAACCCTGAACACATGTGTTCAATTCATTTTATTTCAAGTAGAGTGTAGTACTTCAGCATTTTACAGGATGTGAACATATTTTGAGTAGAGGTGGATAGTAGATCATAATAAGAGATTTAAATAAACCATTTTTAAGCATCAATGAGAATATTCGTATTTAAAAGACAAAAAGATTTAAACCAATCATATCGATGTATAAAATATTTGAGACAATAAATAAAATATACGTAAAGGAACATACTCCAAGGAACGAACTCCAATTAATACCAAAAATATTATATCAACGATTGAAATGTATTTGTCTTGACAATATTTCTCGCAATATCGATGATATACGATGTCCGAGTATCTTATCGAATTATCGGGAAAAAATATTTCTTATAATATTCTATATAATAATATAATATTCATTGCTATAAATTCAACATTATAGTTGCATTTTAACGGTTAACCAAAAAGAAAGAATATATGTGCGCGATGCAAGTTTTACAATTAAATATAATCAACAAAAGAGATTTGTATTAAATAAATATCTATTACTTATGTAAACATGGATAGTTGTATCAAGTAAAGATATATATAAAATGTATAAACAGGTTCATTGGTCAGAGTCAAAATTTTGGGTTAATTTTCTGGCTACAATAGTTTTTTAATGCCAACTACGTTTTAAGAGATAATAACTCAAAATTTAAGATATGATATTTACACAAAACCAAAATATCATACACGCGTTGTGTAATATGTAAATCCTTTTAAAATTATTGATAAAAAATTTGAACAAAATATGTATAAGAAATATACAAATATAATAGAATGTGCCTGAAACGGAAATAACGTTCGATATATGTTCTGAAATACGTATTTGTTTTAAAACTATCTTTTCGATAGCGAGAAGGACGTTGTTATTTATTTTATGCAACAGCAACGTTATTTGTATGGTTAGAGATCTGAGAAGGAAATTCGGAAGATTTCCAAAAAATTAATGTAAGTAAAAAAAAAAAAAAAAAAGAATGATAGAAAAGAAAAATAGAAAAAAAATAAACTTTTCAACTGACCAAATTGAAAACAATATCCGTTTGACTTTCGAGATAAATGTCTTAAGTCAATAAGTGGACTGATGGGCGCTCGTATATTTCTTGATACTACGGTTGTGTGTATACTCAGTGTAGATTGATCATTGCGTGGAATTTTTTAGTGTACATCGGGCACATCGAGAAATGAGACGGCATAAGAGTAGCGGACGTTTGCAATATTATTGTTTGGCGATAAAGTGCGTAAAATATGTTAGGCTCTAACCTATAATTAGTAACATAAATCTAGATGTCAGCATTGTTGCCATGTCGAAAGCATAAAGTGTAATTTTCAACTGAATAATTTTCAAGCAGATCAGAAATGACATTCTTCCGCACTTTTATACATACATACATTTATATATATATATATATGTATCATAGGCGTGTTTACGAGTCGTGTCTCTCGTGCACCTGATCTGAAAAATTCGGCTTTAATTGTATATCAAGGCTAGTTTAAAGCTATGATTCCAACAAAATGACGTTTAGAATTACAGTAGAAACAAAAAAGAAATGTTATTATATTTGTAAATGTAAAGTAATAATGATATTTTTATAATTTTGGAGCTCGTATTTTATTTTCCTTTTTGTAACCCGTATCGCATTTGTATATTTGTCTTATGCACGACCTGATTGAAAGATCTGGATACGCCTATGATATATATATATATATATATATATATATTATACACAAATAAGTATTTGTAAGTTAACATAACGTATTCAGTTCCATTTCGACCGTCATTGTGTACACACATATGGCACACATTAACTGCGTTATCGCAACTTTTCGTCGTCATGCACACCACGAGTGATAATAAATATTTTCGTAATATATTTTATATTATTTAAATTCGACTATGCCTCATACAGATACTTCTAAACGAAATCTTTCTTTCCTCGTCGTCAGCTTCCAAGCAATATGTATTGAAAAGTAAGGTATTTATTACATGTAATTGGTATGCCCTACTCCCCCAAGACCATTTACCGGATGATTTCAGCCCCTATCCAGTCACTGAATCGTCATCAGCTCAAGATGTTGACACGTTTACCTCGGAAATTGAAAACGCAAATATGAATAGGGCTCCACCAATTTTTATAAAAAAATATAACTAATCTACCCAAACTAAATGATGCGCTTACTTCTATTTCGGGCCCCGATGGGTTTACCTTTAAATCGTCAAAAGAATATGTGAAGATTCATACGATTAATACTATCCAACATAAGAATGCGGTAAGTTACCTTGTTATAACAAATCTGTCCTTTCATACATTCTTTCCAAATTGCGATCGCCCAATCCAGGCGGTTATTCGGCACTTGTATCATTCCCATCGATAATATCGAAACGGCACTAATGGAACTACGCTTCTCTGTCACAAATGTTTGGAACATAAAGAATCGGACTACAAAAATCCTGACGTCACTTTTTTCTGTAGAGCTTGAACCCATTGAATTTAGCCATAACATATTTCTGTTAACTAAGTTACTAAACTCCACAATCATCGTCGAAAACCCAGAAAATACCGCAATCCTATTCAATGCAAACGATGTCAGTCGTACGGTCATACAAAAAAGTTATGCAGACATACACCATGATGTGTCAAATGTAGCCAAACGCATTCCACTGCGGATTGTAAGAAATCCCGCGAGCTACCCGCGAAATGTGCTTTATATCACGGATCGCATACAGCAAATTATCTAGGCTGCCTAGCCTAAAAGAAGTTAAAAAAGTTTCGGGATAAGAAATATTCCAGATCAACAATCAACGATGCTTCAAAAAAAGTTCATCCAGTCATACCGACTGGCAATGTACCGGTCAATCATCACCCTTCCCACGCAAATAAGTCCTACGCGGATATCATGAAAAACAACAATAATGGTCCAGCTCCTGTAGACAACTCGAATATATTAAATACTAAACCTATTTCAATAATTATATCACAATTTGTTATACAATTAAATTTTCTTATCACCCCTTTAATTTCGTTTTTATCCATTCTCATAAACACATTATTTTCTAAAAATACAATACTTTCTTAAATACGTCTTCGTTGAATCAATAATTATAATCTTATCTATACCTCCTATCTACACTTTTTATTAAATAATTACTGTAAATACCGCATTGTTATCTAACTTGTTAATATTAACTTTCTGTATTATTATGATTCTAATATTTATTTGATTATTTTACATACCATCTACAACTACTATTATTCGTATCTATTGCTGTACCTATCATTTTCACTAAATTCAATCGTTATTTTTTTATCATTAATTTAATGACTGTAATGGTCGAGCTGAATAGTTTCTTACTACAGTTCTAAAAAAAAAAAAAAAAAAAAAAAAAAAAAACAACGTATTGTAGTAGCCAGTCAAACGTATCAATCTATTACAACACGATAGATCATAATGCATAGGTGATCTTATACTATTATTTTTTTTATTAGGTATACATCTTGTTCAGATTGCGCATACCCAAATTACGTGATAAAAACGAGAGGGAGGAGGAGAGCGACGTGCATATCTGTTTTCAATAAGAACATCACACTAATATGAAGCGCGTCCTTGTTTTATTTTACTATCATATGATTTTGAACTATTCCTATACGATGCTCGCCGCCTTTAACTCGAGCTAATAGTGTTGTCCCTGTGTAATTTATGTGACTTGCGGACAACAACTCAACACAATAGCCATCCAAGCCAATATCACTGCCGCCACTACTGTTCCAGCTCCGGTAACTTTATCGTAAAACGCGATTCGTAGCGTAACATTTCTTCTTCCGGTTTGCATGAAACCCAGACAAATCTAGGATAATAAATTTTCATTAACTTCACTACCAGA